AATTGTGAAGAAATGTGAATAATATATTGCATTTTTTATTTTGTTTGTTTAATCCGAAGAATGAAACAAACCAAATTATGATGATACAGCTAATATGATGTCAAATCAGAAAAATGCAATAGGCATAGTGATGATTCCGATAGAATTTGCATCGGCCGAGCTGAAATTCTCTGCATTTGGATTTGCATTTGAAATCAGTTGAGACCGTTCTTCTGAAGCGTCAACATGGCTCAGCCAGTGAAAGAAATTAGATTCGGTGAAAGTTTTGTTTCATTCGAAGAATTTCGAGGAGCATTGGAACGATATGAGGCGAAAAATTTCGTTAATTATCGGGTTGCAAAAAGCAGCCTAGACCCTGATCCAGACATCAAGTACAAAGTAGTGCGATACGTGTGTAAGAAGTACGGAGAGCACGTGTCCAAAGCAACTCAACGCAAAACAAAGTCCTACACAGAAGGCTGCAAATCGCACATACATGTTACACAAATCGAACAAGATGACCAACGAGTTCTACGAATCACAGGATTTCAGCCGCAGCACAATCATGTGCAAAGTGAAGAATTGTTTCGGCACATGCCGAAGCAGCGAAAGGCCGCTGTGGATGAGAAGTCGGAGCATTTGCAAAATGTGTTGGCAGTGAAATCAAATATGCGAGCAGTTCAGAAGCAAGTGAATGATCCGAGTTCCGGCGCTATTCTCCTCAAAGATCTGCACAATTTCAAGGCAAAAATGAAGACAAATCATCACGAGAACGATTTAGTCAGCCTTGTACATGAAATGTGTCAAATTGAAAATGCCACTGTGAAAGTCATCAAAAACGATCAGCAGCAATTGGATTGCATTTTCTTCCAAGATTTGCGCATGAAAGAGTACTTCAACGCTTATCCCGATTTGCTTATGTTTGATGGTACGTACAAACTCAATGACCGACGAATGCCGTTAGTGGTCATGCTCGTCATCGATGGAAACGGAGAATCTCAAATCGCTGGTTTGTGCATTGTCCGTTCAGAAAATACAGCTACATTTCGAACCCTGTTTGATGAACTCAAAGCAGAAAATCCCGGACACACGGACATTGAAGTGATACTGAGCGATAAATCATTCGCAAATCGCAATGCATTCAAGTTCAGTTTTCCAAACGCCCATCACCAACTTTGCGTTTTCCATGTACTACAAATCTTCAATCGGGAAGTGACAACAAAGAAACGAGGTATTACTCCTCGCCAACGGGAGAATGCCTTACACACTTTGAAACGAATGGTTTACGCTCAAAATCAAGCAGAATACGATGCAGAATACAACAAGTTGAACAACATGAAAGGCCCAAAACTGCAATCGTATTTCGACAACCACTGGCACAACATACAAGATCAATGGTTTGGTTTTCAAGTGAATCGCTCAGCAAACTACGAGAACCGAACAAACAATCGTTTGGAAAATGTCAACCAGAAAATCAAGACTGTTGTTGCAAAATACTCACGTCTTTCGAATTTCTTTGGAGATTTGATGACACTCATCGCATCATTCAACATTGAACGAGACTATGCCGCCGCTGAGTGCATTTTGCGAGAATCGTTGGCGGTAGCCAATAACACTGAGTTTGACAAGAAATACTCAAAAATTCTCACGCCATACGCATACAACAAGTACAAAATGCAATCCATGAAAGCTAAACAAATCAAATTCACACGGATCCGTGAGCTGGAGGCTGAATGTATGGAAAATGACGTCACAATCATCGTTAACGACAATGAATGCGAGTGCACCTGCACATTCTTCCGCACAATGAAACTACCATGCGCTCACATCATCGCATTTTTCATGCATCACGATGAATGTCCGTTCAAACCGTCTCTCTGTGCCAACCGATGGAAGCGATCAAATGTTCCTTTTTCCAGTGAGTTTGTGTACTCTGCTTCAAACTCACATCAAATTGTAACAGTACCAAACGAAACTCAACGGCGTCGTGATATGACACCCAACGAAAAGTTCCATTACGCAGAAGTGGAAACGAAAAAAGTGTGCGAAATTCTGTCAGAAAAATCGCAAGCAGATTACGATCTTTGCTTACTCAAACTGAAGGAATTGCGAGTTTGTGTCGAAAAAAATCAAATCCCAAACATTCAAAGTCCAGGTAAGTTAAAACAATATGAACTATTCAATTGAATTCTAAATTCATTTTTTTTATTCAAGAAGTCCAAATTAAATGCAAATTAAATAATCTTTACGTAAATGTTTCGTTTTCAGCGTCACAAGTTCATGCATCAACACAAACACAAATTCTCCGGCCATTGAAACGAGCTGCTGATGCAAGCAAATCGAACGAAAAAGAAGCAACATTGGGCGAAGCCACTGTTCCACACGCATCCACATCAAATCAAGGCTACGAGCTCAGATCTTGTGAGTGTTTATGAGAATAAATTTTAATTTATGAACAGAAGTATCGTTTTACAAATAAACAATATCACTAATTGATTTCATTTTCAGTGAATCGTTCAGCACAACAGCCACCAACACAGTCAGTAGCACAGCGAGTTAAAGGTCGACGAACAACGATTTCATTCTTCAATTCAGTAGATTCATCGGGCCGCAATTGTCTTTCTCAGGAAGCGATAGACGAATTGGAAAGTATTGAGCTACCTACCAAAATGCAACGACGAAAATAGGAGAAAATTCTATGTCGATCGATAAATTGTCGTTTTTGGATTT